GGGACATCTCTATCCACACCCCAGGGTTGGGGACATCTCTATCCACACCCCAGGGTCGGGAAATACAGAAGAGGGGCAGGAAGAGCCTAAGAGCTGGAGGATGGGGAAGAGCGCCGTGAAATAGTCCTCTGCACAGGACACAGCAGTTGCACTCAAGGACGAAACCCTGACAGGGTCAAGTCCAAAAGGTTAGTTAACAGTCCGCCTGGCAGCACGAGGTAAACTCATTTGGCCGCCAGAAAGGGGGGGGGGCATGAAAGTGGTAGGTGGACATGTTAAGGGGTGCCAAAGGAAGTAGGAGGGAGAAATTGGGGTGCCTAAGACCAAGATACGTTGTATGCACAAATGAAATTGTCAAAGAATAAATGAGATGCAGAAGAGAGAGAAAGCAGAAATGTAAGGCAGCTAGTATGTCCGGCAGTGGAAGGTGGAGCTTGTGCTTGGCCTGTGCAAGGTGCGAGCTGGAGCTCCAGCATGGGAAGCGTGAGGGTGGGCTGCCTCGGCAGTCAGGAACACTTGGTGCTCTTGCAGAAGACGTGGGTTCAGTTCCTAGCATCCCCATGGTGGCTCACAACCATCTAACTGCAGTTGCAGGGATTCCCGACACCCTCTCTGGCATCAGTGGGACTGTGATATGCAGGGACATGGGCAGAACACCTGTATACATAAAATAAATTTAAAATAACAATAATCTTTAAGAAGAAGAAAGGAACACGTGCGTACCCAATACCAGTTGTAGCCTACAAGTGCGTTGGCCTGTAGCCTGAGGGGTGTTTGCCCGCAGCCCGTCTGGTGGGCGAAGTGGGCTCACCAAATGGGTGTCATTGGCTGTAGGTCCCCGTTTCTTACTTAGAGGTCCAGTTCCACAAGGGACCTTCTATGTTCCTTAACAGTCCACTCTTTTCTGTTGTTGTTGTTTTTCAAGACAGGGTTTCTCTGGGTAGCCCTGGCTGTCCTAGAACTCGCTCTGTAGTCCAGGCTGGCCTCGAACTCACAGAGATCCGCCTGTCTCTGCCTCCCGAGTGCTGGGATTAAAGACATATGCCACCACAGCCCAGCAATAGTCCACTCTTATTTCTTTAGGTGTTTGTTGTGGAGACAGGGTCTCATGTAGCTCAGGCTGGCCTTGAACTCACTGTCAAGGATGACCTTTATTTAGCTCCTGATTGTCCTGCCTCTACCTCTTGGGCACTGGGATTACAAGTGTGAGCCAGCATGCATGGCTCCCTTAATTCTATAGGTTCCCTCCCCGCTTAGGTCCTCCCTGGGCTCCACTCATGTCTGATTTCACCTGTGTGGCTTTCCATTGTGGATTTCAGAGGTGCCCAAGGGTGGGGGGGGACAAGACACTAGCCAAGCCCCCTCCTTCCCTTCAGCTACTGAGTTCTTCTCTCATCTTGTCCCACCTTTTCCTTAATGTCTCTCTCCATCCTCACACGTACATAGCCAGAGTACTGGGAAGCCCTGCAAATGCACGGGTGATCAAGGATGTCCTTTCTCATCCATCTGCCCTGGGAGGTCAGGGTGGCTCCACAGTTGGGATTCAGAGTGCCCCGGCCTGCTGGGAGGTGACAGTGTAGGAGTCAGGTTGTAACCCGTATACAGCTTCTGCAGCTGCAGAGAGACAGCCTCACACCTCAGTGCCCACACTTCGAAGAGCTGTGGATGGCTGGGGGGTGGGGTTGGGGGGCGGCCTGGTGAATTGGCTACGAGAGGCACTAGGGTGGCAGTGTGGGGCAAAATCCTCAGTCGGAGGGGAGAGCCAGCTGTGTGGAAGATGTTCTGGGGCACAGGCCAATTCCCCAAAGTCTTGGCTTTTACAAAGGCCTCTCTGGTCTAAGTGCAGCCTGGTAGAGTGCCTCGAACCCAAGGAAGGGACAGCTCTGAGGAGCCCTGTGGCTGTGAGCACCAGGCCTGTCCCAGGATGGGTGGGAGGGCTCATGGAGCATGGGGCAGGCAGACAGCAGGACTCTGGACACTGCGAACTAAGAGGGTGGGGTGGGAGCTGGGATTTAGGGCCTATGGTCCTGGGTGAACCCAGGAACATGCACATTGGGTTGCCATGGAGATACCTGTGACCTCACACAGGCCTGAAGCACAGGGCACCTGCCTCTCTCCTTGACTCATGGGTGACCACTTGGGGACCAAAATGAACATCCTATCCAGGAGGTAAGTCTAGAATGACAGTCCTGTGCCCTTCAAACCTGAAGCTTGAAGCTAGTGAACTGCTTTATACATGATATCAGCCCCAGGGCCACACTGGCTGCCAGCCAGCTTCACAGAGGCCTAACTTGGTGTCCCCTGTCAGGACCTGTCTCTTCCAGAGCAGGCTAAATCTGGGCTGACTTTCCTGGGAAGAGTAAGTGTGGTCCAGCCTGGATCTCTGGATAGATGTGGCCGTCCACTGAAGCCACTGTCTCCAATGGGCACTTGTGAAGGACAGAGTGGTATGGGTGTGTGTAGAAGGAGGGTAAGAGGAGGTTCTGCTGGATTCCACCTGGGGGGGGGGTCACTGTCCTTTGAGGATGAAGATGTGACCCCTCAGGGTAGGTGCCCCTGCCCTCTTGCCTTTCCCAGGAGACCTTGCTGTGAGTGGATAGAAGGGGGGGTGAGCAGGTGTCCCTTGATTTGCCCTGGGCACAAAGTGGGGTTTGGGAAGGACCAAGAGATGCCCAGGATTGACCTCCTCCACTGTCAGAGCACAGGGACCCTCTGTCCAGAGCTGAGCACCCCTGCTCCCCGCTTTGAACCCACAGGAGAATTCTGGGGCACCCTGGAATTAACGTACTGGATTAACAGCTGCATTCAAAGCCATAGCAGGGCGGGGACATCTGAAATAAAATATTATTTTACCTGAGGAATTTCCTCTAGACAACTGACTTGGAATGAGAACTAAGACCCCGGTTGCAGCTTCACTGTGGACAGGCCTTTGCCTGAGACGTTCCTTCTGGTTAGAACTTTGTGGTCCAGTGGGTTCTGCTAAAAGCCGGGCTCCTTGGAGAGGCCGACTCCCACCCGGCACAGTGACCTCCCACGTGGGGAGAAGGCTCTCGAGAGTGGACGGCATTGCCTTGGACTGCATCTCACCTGTACCCCTGCCAACCCTGTGCTTCAAAGTGAACCCAGGGCCGCGCCTGTGCCAGCGGCCAGTCCACTGCTGAGGTACACTCCGAGCCTGGTTTTGACATCTTATCAGGGGACCTCAGGGACAGGAGATTGCAAACCAGAAAACAGCAAATATTCCTTTTTAGTTCGTTAATGTTAGAATGGTCAGGGGCTGGCAAGATGGCTCAGGTAGGGTAGACGCTTGCTGCCAAGGCTGACAGACTGAACTCATCCCCAGAGCCCGCATGAAAGGCGAGAGCTGACGCTTGGGGGTTGTCGTCTGATCCCCACAGGACCACTGTGGCATGGTCATGTGTGTGATCACACATACATGCCAAGTGTCTGCTCAGGCTAGGACTGCAGCCCAGTGGTAATCAGTTGCCTAGCAACTCAAAACTCGGGGTGTAAGCGCCAACATGGCAAAACGAAAAACAAACATAAAGGTATCTGATCAGAACAGAACCTAGTAGAGAAAGGGGTCTCAATCTTAGAAAAATTAATGACGGGGGGGGGGGGGGGGACGGGACGGGGACAAAATAGCCATCTGTGATTTGTGCACCAAATAAGGAGCCTGTCAGCCTCTCTGGAGGTCCTTACAGGTGAGGTACAGGGCAGGTATTACCCGTGTTTAGGGTAATTTGCTGTCTCCTGAAACTTGTAGATGATTCTGCTGTCCCAGAAGGCATTTACAGCAGGAGCTGTTCTTGGTGTGTGTGTGTGTGTGTGTGTAAAATGTGGGCTTCCTGCTCTCCTTGGATCCTGGTCTGAGGTTCACACAGGGGAGCATCCTGAGATAGGGTAGACTAGGTCAACAGAGTGGGAGAACCCAGCTCAGATTTGCAGGCTCCTCAAGTTAATCCTCTTAGCACACTGCGGGCAAGGTGATTAGGGAACCTCAGAACACACGCTAGTGCAGGACAAGACGTTCAGTTTTGAACCGGACTGGTGGTGGATGGTTGAGAATCCTTACTGAGAACTCGTGCAGTACTAGGGACCGAGTCCGGGGTCCCAGGCATGCAGGCAAGTACTAACACCGAGCTGCAATGCCAGGTTCCCATGTGACAACCTTAGGCTGAGCCCACAGCGGGGTTGGTTTTTAGGATTTTTGGCTGGCCTCAAACTCCTGCCTCAGCTTCAAGTGCCAGAAATACAGTCAGTGCTACCACACCTGGCTAGTGGTTTTTGTTTTTCTTAAACACTTCCATATTCTTTTGTTTTCTTTTTTCTTTTGTTGTTTGTGTTTTGAGACAGGGTTTCTCTGTGTATCCCTGGCTGTCCTGGAACTCCCTCTGCAAGAGCCCTGTTAACCACTGAGCCAACTCTCCAGGCCCATTTCTGCACATTAAAGAAAAAAGTTGATGTATTTGTGTGCGGGTGTGAGTGTTTGCACAAGTGTGTGTATGTAGTTGTGTGTGTTTGCTCTTGTGTCCTTGGAGACCGGAAGAAGGTCCTGGATCTCCTGCTCCATCACTCCATTTATCCCTTTGAGGCAGGGTCTCTCCCCAAACTTCAGGGTTGTGTTCTCTCATCCACCTCAGTAATCCTCCTGTCTCCGCCTGCTCAGAGCTGGGGTTATAGTCGTGAACACCTGGATTGCTGTGTGGGTGCTGGGATCTGAAGGTACAGCAAGCCTTCTTAACGTCTGATCCACCTTTCCTGCCTGCTTTGGGACATTTTAAAAATTGGGTTCTTGGGGTAGGGTTTGTGTTGGTTGGTTTTTGTCACCTGGAAAGAGGGTGCTGCCTATCGGGGACTATGGGAGTCCAGCCCCTCGACAGTCCCCTCCCAGCGTCCAGGAAGAATCTACAACCAGCTGATAATTAATCTTTGATGAAAAGAAATGAGTCTATGTACACGAAACTCCTTACTCCATACACTTGATTATTCTGTGATGGTTCTCTCTCTACACAGCTTCTATTCTGCTCTCATGTTTAGCTCCTTTCTTGGCTGATTTCTCTGGACATTTATCTGTTGTCCCCTCTAGGTTCTATCTTAATTCCTTCATCTAGTTCTGTCCCTTCTAGGTTCTCATCTATCTAGTTCTTTCCCATATCATCTCCTCTCCCGTCTCCTCTCTCATCTGGCTCTTCCTCATCTTCCATCTTGTTCCTCTAGTCCTCTCTTCTCGCCCTTCAATCTAGTTCTTCCCCATCTCAGTTTGTTCCTCTCAAGTTCTTACCCATCTAGTTCTTCCATTCTCTTTTCTCTTCTCCCTGACTCCTGGAAGTCCCGGTACATAAAGGGAGGGTCCGAGCTAAATTGTGTAAAGCTATTACTTAACATCCACCTCTCCTAGGCGGTGTCTCCTTGTGGAATTTACCTTAAGTCAGGAGACTTGCAGGTGGCCTGTTATCATTGTTAGTCCTCAGAAGTTGGGCCCTCACCTGGGTGGTGTTTCCTGTAGTCCTTGAAAGTGGCTAAGGGAGATTCCAGAGGAAGCCTTTCCCGAGGCTGTTCTCCAAATACCTGGAATGTGTGTGTTCAGAGAGTGATCAGTCCACACTGTTAGTCCTTCTTAGGGGAAAGTCAATTGGGAAAACTGTGAAGGCACACATGATTTTCATAACAGAAGACAGCTGATATATAACAAGCCGAGTAACACCAAAAACTCCTTGGGATTTGGCTTCCTCTGGAGGAATTCCCTGATCCCTCCAGGTAGTGACTTTGCCATAACCAGCTGAGTTCTTAGGATATGTTCCTGCGGCCCGCAGCTGTTGCCTCCATCAGATTTGCCTGTGAGCACAGCTGTGGGGCATTTTCTTGATTAGTGGATGTTAGAAGCCCCAACCCCCGTGGGCAGGTGGGCCTGGTGGGCAGGTGGGCCTGGTGGGCCTGGATTTCGTAAGAAAGCAAGCTGAGCAAGTCACTAACCAGCTTTCCTGCATTGCTCTGTGATCTCTGCCCCCAACTGCCCTCAGTGATGAGCTGTCCCTGGAATGCCAGGTGAGGTGAGCTCCTCCCCAGGCTCCTTTGGGTCACTAGGCTTTGTTGGTTTGTTTTTCGAGACAGTTTCTCTGTGTAGCTTTGCGCCTTTCCTGGAACTCACTCTATAGACCAGGCTGGCCTCGATCTCACAAAGATCCGCCTGGCTCTGCTTCCTAAATGCTGGGATTAAAGGTGTGTGCCCGTGTGGGTCACTAGGCTTTTTGGTAAACTAGCACAAGGCTTTTTGTTTTCGTTCCTTATGGATCCTGATCATCACCTCTGCAGAAACTCTCTCCTTGCCTGTGCGCTCTAGGCTCCATTGGTTCCTGGAAGAAGTGCTTCTGTCTGGTGCAATCTTACTTGACAATTTTGCTTGGATTTCTTTTTTTTGGGGGGGTGGGGGGGTGGGGGTCCTATCTAAAAAGTCAGACTCTGTGCCAACATCTTTGTTGTTTTTGAGACATATTTCTCTGTGTAGCCCTGGCTGTCCTGGTATTCACTTTGTAGACCAGGCTGGCCTCAGACACAGAGATCCGCCTGCCTCTGCCTCCTGAGTGCTGATTAAGGGCGTGCGCCACTACTGACGGGCTTTTTTTTTTTTTTTTTTAAGATTTATTTTTATGTATTACAGTGTTCTGTCCACATACCAGAAGAGGGCATCAGATCCCACCCAGATGGCTGTGAGCCATCATGCGGTCGCTGGGAATTGAACCCCGGGTCCTCTGGAAGAGCAATCAATGCTCTTAGCCTCTGACCCATATCTCCAGCCCAATAAACATTTTAAAATTGAAAAAAATAAAGAGCCCAAGGCAGCTGTGGGTAAGGGGACAGCCGGGCAGAGGTCAAAACCAGAGTATGTGAGGGTGCTGGGTGTGGAGGGTTCACAGATGGGCTGGGGCTTGGGAAGGGTCCCCCGAGGACAGGGTAGCCTGGAGGGCGGGTGGGGGATGGTCTGAGTCTGCAGGGGAAGCTCCCTGGGAGGCAGGTGAAAGGCTAGACTCAGGCCTGGGCAGGGGTGGGGAGAAGAGCCAGCTGATGGCTATCTGGAAGTGGGTGCCAGTTGCTGATCAGCTGGGCGTGGGTTTGAAGTAAGAGGGGTCAGGTGACCTGTTTTTGTCTGAGCAAGAAGAGCGCAGAGATGTCCTCACGAGTAAGATTTGTACAGCAGGAAGATCTGGTTTGGACCCCACTGGAGACACCAGTGGAAAGGCAGGCAGTGGGCCTGGCCACGCAGTTTGGAGATGAGATCAGGGTTATATGGCAGTCCTGGGCCGGCCGTCTGACCGACCTGTCAGGGCCTACGTAGAGACATGTTTAGTATAGTACCCAGGTTTGGAGGTTAATAAATAGAACTTGGCTGGGCAGTGTTGGTGATGCCTTTAACCCCAGCATTCGGGAGGCAGGCGCAGGCAGATCTCTGTGAGTTCGAGGCCAGCATGGGCTACAGAGAGTTCCAGGACAGCCAGGGCTACAACAGAGAAATTCAAAACAAAAAACTAAAAATAGAACTTGCGTGGAGGTAGAGACTTGGTAACTTCAGGTAGATGCATTTGTAGAAGTTTCTTTAGGTAGTTTTCAAAAATAAACCAAAGTGAATGGTTTCAAATTCTCCCAGTTGTAAGGATTGTAGAGATGGGGTTCAACCTGTTCCACCAGCCCACCCACACCTCAGAGTGTCCCTAGAGAAGGCCTCTGAGACTCAGGGTCCCTTGCCAGTCCTGTGGCTGCTGGGCCTCCCTAGAGCTGGGCAGAGGCCAGAAGCAGCTGTATCCAGGGACAAAGGGACCTGGGATGGAGGAATGGGGCAGGGCTGAGGGCAGCCGTCCCTTTGGAACCCCCAGCTCTGCCCCCCTTTACTGTTCATTTTAACCTTAATTAGGAAAGAAAATTCCAGAAACTTTAGCCAGGAAACATCACCGGGATGGGTTTAGGAGATGCCTTACAGGCAACATCGCAGGATTGCTGGTTAGATGGTTTGTGCTTTTACCCCGTGCAAACCCGAGGTCAATCCTCAGTACCACGGAAGAAAGAGAACCAACTCATAAAAGTTGCCCTCTGACCCCAACATGTGCCCCATGGCTAACATGCATCAACACACAATTTTGTAAGAGAAAAATTGCAGGGGTGTTGGATGACGCAGTGGCTTTGGCAATAATGGACTTGGTTGGCTTCAGTCATTCCCCAGTTTAAAGGCTAAGGGGGCTGAGAGGGAGCTCAGGGAACCCACTGTGGCTGTGGTCTGTTTCCACCTTCTGGGGTTGGTGGGTGTGAGAAGCAGCTTGTGCCCTGCACCTGGAGGGGACTTGTTACACTGGTGTCACAGTAAAGAAAAAAGCCTTCCGTCTGTCCTGTATCTGTGGTCTGTCTGACCCTGGCAAAGACCTTTGCTCTGTACTGACTGAACGGAACAGAAAACCTTGTATGTGAAAGGAATGAGGACTCTTCTGTCTTATTACCCAGCACTTACAAGGGAAGACATGACTTTCTTGACCCAGAACAGCACTCAAAACCACAGTCAGATGATATTGTCTATAGCCATGCACTGCACCCAACATTAATGGGATATTTGGTTTGTTTTTGGTTCCAGACAGGGTTTCTCTGGCTGTAGCCCTGGTTGTCCTAGAACTCACTCTGTAGACAAGGCTGGCCTCAAAGATGTGTACCACTACTGCCTGGCAGGATGTTTGTTTTTTAGATTTATTCTTCTTTGGGGGTGGGGTGGGGGCGGGGTCTCACTGTGTGGCTCTGACTGTCCCGGAACTAGCTCTATAGACCAGGCTGGACTCAAACTCAGAGATCCACTGTGGTGATATTATGCTCCCCAAAATATTGTGCACCCTAATAAACTTGTCTGGGGTCAGAGAACAGAACAGCCACTAGACATAGGGCCAGAAAATGGTGGCACACACACCTTTAATCCTAGCATTCCAGAGGCAGAAATCCCTCTGGATCTCTGTGAGTTCAAGGCCACACTGGAAACAACCAGGCGCGGTAACAAAGAGCCTTTAGTCCCAGGAAGTGATGGCAGGAAGCAGAAAGGTATTTAAAGGTGAGGACGAGGAACTAGAGCCTGGTTAAGCTTTTAGGCTTTTGAGCAACAGTTCAGCTGAGGTTCATTCTGAATGAGGACTGAGAAGCTTCCAGTCTGAGGAAACAGGATCAGCTGAGGAATTGGTAAAAAACTTGCTACATCCCACCTGCCTCTCCAAGTGCTGGGACTGAAGTTGTATGCTACCATGCCCTGTGGGTATTTGTTTTTTGAGGCTGCTTTCCACCTGTTGGTTGCAACACACACACACACACTATTCTGGGCCTGGGCATGAAAGAGTACATAATTTAAGATTAAAGCTATGTATTTAGTTTAGCTTAGTGTAAAGTTGATTGCATGGGGTATTCAAGTACAGCAAGTTAGTTACATTGCTTTCAAGGTGGGTTAAACTAAACAGGCTGAGTACACAGTGTTTTTATTATTTTTAATTTTTTTTTCAAGACAGGGTTTTTCTGCATATCCCTGGCTGTCCTGGAACTTGCTTTGTAGACCAGGCTGGCCTCTGCCTCCAGAGTTCTGGGATTAAAGGCATCTCTGTGAGTTCGAGGCCAGCCTGGTCTACAGAGTGAGTTCCAGGAAAGGTGCAAAACTACACAGAGAAACCCTGTCTCAAAAAACCAAAAAAAAAAAAAAAAAGAAGTGTTTATTTTTATTTTATATGTATGAGTCTTTGCCCGAATATCTGTGTACCATGTGTGTGCATGCAGTGCCCTCTGAAGCCAGAAGAGGGTGTCAGATTCCCTCTGACATTGGAATTGCAGGTTGTAAGCCACTGTATACACACAAGAAATCAAACCCTGATCCTCTGGGGAAGCAGCTAGTGCTCTTATCCACCGAGCCACCACCCCAGCCCCTGGGAGTGCATAGTTTTAAATGATCTCAAAGCATATTATTGTAACTTGGTTGCATTTGATCCCTTAGAACTGAAGTTGTGAACCACCGTGTGAATGCTGGGACTCAAAGCTGGGTCCCCCTGTGGTGCAGCCAGTGCACTTAATTTGTAGACTGTGTAGCCAAGGGCATTTTGTGCATGCGTTTTTTCTTTTACATTTATTTGTTGTGTATGTGTACCATGGTGCATGTGTGGAGTTCAAAGAACCACAAATAAAGGCATCAGGCACATGTATGTGATTCATAGACATACATGCAGGCCAAACATCCTTACACATAAAATAGTAAAGAGCCAGGTATGGTGGCGCATGCCTTCACTCCCAGCACTCGGGAGGCAGAGGCAGGTGGATCTCTGTGTTCAAGGCCAGCCTGGTTTAGAATGAATTCCAGGACAGTCAGTGCTGTTACATAGAGAAATCCTGTCTCAAAACAAACAAACAAACAAAAAACCAAAACAAGCAAAAAACAAAAACAAAAAACCCCAAACAACAACAATAATAATACTTTAGTTGGTGCCAATCAGAGGGGCCCAGATAATCGGAGGAGCCAGGGAATGGGCTGAGCAGGTGCCTCTGCTTATGCTAGGCCCACTGTTTGAACTGTTACCCAAATCAGCCTATTTGGACCACTGGACACACTGGGAAGGCTCACAGCACATGGCTCTGCAGACCCTTGCTTTTGGTGGATGGTCCCCACCCTTCAAGTGTGGCTGTGACCCTGACTTCTATAGAGGACAGCATGGGGTGGACCTCACAATGGAGGCCTTGGAAGACACTGCCACAGCCAGAGGCCCGTCACTGTAGATTGTAGGACCCAAGTCACGTTGATGAAGTGACACAATGACACTTGACCTGAGCCCTCCTTTTCTAACGCATGACTCCAGCTTATTCACAAGGAAATTCCACAAGGGCTCTGGAGGGCATACTCCTCAGTGTGCCCCTAAACCAGTAAGGTCACCAAAAGTGGCTTCCTGTGAGGCTGTTCCAGCCTCGAAATGCTGAAAGCAACAGGACTTCAAAATGCCACTTGGGGCTGGGTGGTGGTGTCGTACACCTTTAATCCCAGCACTTGAGAGGCAGAGCCAGGCGGATCTCTGTGAGTTCGAGGCCAGCCAGGTCTACAGAGTGAGATCCAGGACAGGCACCAAAAGTACACAGAGAAACCCTGTCTCGGAAAAACCAAAACAAACAACAAACAAAAAAGAGTCACTTGGAGTCCTGGGGCAAGAGAAAATTATTAGATGGAAAGAGGGGAAATCTGGGTAATGTAGTACATCATAAATAATTTCCTTCCTTCCCTTTAAAAATATACAGCCAGGGCTACACAAAGAAACTGTCTCACCAGGCGGTGGTGGCGCACGCCTTTAATCCCAGCATTTGGGAGGCAGAGGCAGGCGGATCTCTGTGAGTTCGAGGCCAGCCTGGTCTACAGAATGAGATCCAGGAAAGGTGCAAAGCTATACAGAGAAACCCTGTCTCGAAAAACCAAAACCAAAACCAAAAAAAAAAAAAAAAAAACTGTCTCAAAAAACCACATACACACATTTCTTTTTTCATGTGTGTGGATATTTTGCCTATGGAGGTCAGAAGGAGGAGTCCGATGCCCTGAGACTGAAGTCACAGATGGTTGTGAATCACCATGTGCTCGCTGGGAATTGAACCCAGGTCCTCTGGAAGAGCAGCCAGGATTAACCTCTGGGCCATCCCTCCTACCCTCCCCCCCCCTTTTTTTTTTTTAAAAAAAAGTATTTATCTTTATTATTTTAAAGTGTGTGTTTATGTATACATGTGTGCAGATGCCCAAGGAAGACCGGGTGTCTGGTACCCTGGAGCTGGAGTTACGGGTGATTTTGAGCCACTGTATGTGGGCAGTGGGAACTGAACTCAGGTCCTCGGCAAGAACAGTAAATGGGCTTCACCTGAGCCATCTCTCCAGCCCCTTCCTTCCTTTTCTCCCCTTTTTGTTTTTCGGAGACAGGGAGGGTCTCACGTAGCCCAGGTTGGCCTCATCTCCCTGTGTAGTCCAGGATGATCTTAACCCCCTAACCCCTCAGCGATGGGATTAGAGGCAGATGTGAGCACCAGCATTGCTAGGCTCCAGCTTTCCTCTGCTGGGACTTTCCCAACTTTTAAGATGCCCATGAGCTCTGTGTGATCACAGGGGTGTGGCAGGGCCAGGTTCTGCTTGCTTTCCAGGCTTCAGAGCCGGGGTTGATTGCTGAAAAGCACCCAACGTGATGTGTGTGCATTTGTAACGGAGGCTCTTTACAACAGGGCCTAGCAGATGCTTCAAAGATTCTGGAGAAATCGAGTGACATGCAACTTCACGGAGGTCTGTAGTGCTAGTTTTCTTGGTAATTAAAACATACTTATTGGTGTCTGGGTGGGTTGCCTGGATGTCTGTGCACCAGAAGGGGGCGCCAGATCCTCCGGCGCTGGAGTTACATACGGGGTTGTGAGCCATTAGTTGGGTGCTGGGAGCTGAACCTGGGTCCTCTGAAAGAGCAAGTGCTCTTAACCACTGACGCAACTCTCCAGCCCCATTTTTAGCATTTTTACATTTTATTTTGAAACTTTAGAGAGGGTCTCATGTATCCAGGATGGCTCTTTCTCTGTGGAATGTATGGTCTCTTGTCCTCTCCTGGTGCTCTCTCCTCACCCCCCCAACCCTGTTTTCACCCACCATGTACCCCCAACCACAGGTTTTTGTTGTTTTTAAAGGAAGGGCTCATGTAACCCAGGCTGGCCCCTTGCTATATAGTCAAGGATGACCTTGAACTTCTGATCTAAATGCTGGGTTTTCAAGCTTGTGTCACCACTCCGATTTATAGGTGTTGGGGACTGAGTCCAGGGTCTAACGTGTGCTAAGTAAGCACTGGATGGACTGAGCTATACCCACAGCCCTCACTTTGTTTTTTGATGGAGGGTCTTGCTACGTGTCCCAAGCTGGCCTTGAACTTCTATGTAGCCCAGGCTGGTGTTGAACTCGCGTTTCTCTTGCTTTGGTTACTTCATATTCTCAGAGAATCAAGAAGGCGGGCCTGGGCTCCAGGGTAGGACTGGTTGTTTTAGAAACAGGGCTCCCTTCCTCTCCTCTGTGGCCCGCCTTCCCTGTTCCAGACCCTCTGACTGGGCTTTGTTCTCTACCTTGGTATTTTCAGTTAAGTGAAGTCCTCGAGCCCGGCCTTGAGGGATGGCCAGCCTGAGGCCCAGCCGACCTACCTGTATCAGGGCGGCGTTCAGTGCAGCTGGCTTCCGGAAGTGGCAGAGACATGCTCGCCATCGCCTTCAGGTGCCCTCCGTTCAGCAAGGGCGGGGGGTGGTGGTGGGGGTTGGTGCCATCCCTGCAAGTCTTGGCTCCCTTCCCCCACCTCCAAAAGGAAAAGTATTCAAACCCTAGTGTTCTTTGATCAAGAAAACAAAAGCTGCCTCCCTCAGCAGCCTGGGGCTGGTGGGAAAGAGCTGGACTACCAGAGGCCAGGCCTGGGTCCCTCTGGGAGCTTTCTCAGCCTCACTGCTTCTGCATGTGTGGAGACCAGTCGAGAAGGAAAGTTCAGTGCCCTCCACCTCCTTCCGGCTTTGGGCCCAGAGCCAGTGTCAGGGTGCTGTATGGCCCACTGTGCCCAACAAGGGCTCCCCGGCCTCCACTAAGCGCTGGGAGGACTTCTGGTCAGGGTTCCCTCCTTACCAGGGCGAGTGTCAGCATGTCCTGTGGTGTGGGCAGGGAGTACCCCAAGGGCCCCATGTGTTTTAAGCTGCCATGACAGAATTGGCATCAAGCCTTTCCTCACAGGTCAACTCCAGAAGGAACCTCATGGACTTTGCTGAAGGCATCTGGAGAGAGGTATGCTTCAGACCGGGCCGAGGCCTGAGGGTCCAGAGACCCGGGGAGCCCTCCAAAGCCAAGGCCAGCCCGGAGAGAGGGCTGTGAGGGTCAGAGTCCAAGCAGGGAATGTTTCCACCTGTGCACACAGCCCTGCACCTAGGCAGCCTGGGGAGGGGACTAAAGGAGGATGTCTCACCACATAGCTCAGGCCAGTCTCAACTCAGGACAGGCCACCTGCCTCCTACCTCTTGAGTGCCGGGGTGACCAGCAGTGCCACCTCAAGACAGGGACAGATACTGACAAAACATGTTCACAGAAAGCAAGAAAGGACAGACAGGAAGTTCTGATCCCACCAGCAGAAGTCAGGGACTCCCCACAGCCCTGCCAAGCACCCTAAGAGGATTAAGCACTGTTGCTGGTGACGCACCCCTTTAATCCCAGCACTCAGGAGGCAGGAGCAGGCGGATCTCTGTGAATCTGAGGCCAGCCTGGGCTACAGAGCAAGTTCCAGGACAGCCAGGGCTACACAGAGAAACCCTGTCTTGAAAAACCACAAAAGTTTTCCACTGGGCAGGGTGGCACACACTTATGTCTCAGCACCTGGGAAGCTGAGGCAGGAGGATGAGAAGTTGAAGGCTAGCCAGGGCTACATGAGACCCTGTCTTTTATTTATTCATTTACTTCTTTGTTTTTTTTTTTGGGACAGTGTTTCTCAGGGTAGCCCTGAAGGTTAGCTGGTGCTACATGAGACCCTGTCTTTTGTTTTATGTTTTTGGTTTTTTGGGACAGGGTTACTCTGTGTAGCTCTGGCTGTCCTAGAACTCAGGCTGTCCTATAACTCACTCTGTAGACCAGGCTGGCCTTGAACTCAAGAGATCCACCTGCCTCTGCCTCCTGAGTGCTGGGATTGAAGATAGGAACCACCAAGTCCAGTAAGACCCTGTCTTTTAATGTTTGAAATGATCTGTTTCTGTATGTACGAGTGTTCTGCTTACATGTATGCAGTGTCGAGGTGGCCAGGGGAGGGGCTGGAGTTCTGGATGGTTGTGAGCAGCCATGTGGGTGTTAGAAATTGAACAGCTGACCCTGCTCTCCAGCCCTGAGACCAGGTCTTAAGCAAGCAAAACAAACCAGGTGTGGTGGCACATGCCTTTGATCCCAGTACTTAGGAGGCAGAGTCAGGAGGATCTCTGTGCGTTTGAGGACAGGTTGGTCTATATACATAGCTCCAGGCCGGCCAACATTACATAGTGAGATCATCTTTACAACAACACAACCCCTACCACCACCATCTGGGGATGTAACTTGCTGAGTGCTTGCCAAGCATTTTTGAGGCTCTGGGTTTGATCTCCAGAACGATCCCTTGATGAGGAGCTAAAGGCAAGAGAATCAGAAGTTCAGGGTCATCTGGCTACATGGTTAGTTGCAGGCCGATCTTGGCTATGAGACTCTGTCTGTACAAAAGGGAAGGTTTAGATGCACAGCAAGTCACACCCACTTGCCACCTGCCATCGTAGTGATGGGGACATCTTCTTTGCCTCTGTGTTGCACTACCCTGCTGCTAGGACTATCCACTGGCTCAGAACCTTTTCAATTCTGTGGTGACGGGAATTGAGTCTCAGGCCCTCACACACAGCCATGTCCTCAAAAAACTTGTCATCAGTTTTTAGATCCTTATGATGGCGACTCAGAAGATACCCCGGGTCATTCCACCTACCGAAACTCCCGCCAGCGTGCCTACCGCCTCCTGGGTGACAGGAACCGCAACGCACCTTCCTACACACTGAGGTTCAAGATTGGGGAGGAGGCCAGTGTGGAAGACTCGCTCCCGCCAAAGGCTCCAGATCTCACCATGAAAACTTCTGGCTGGACCCCCATAGCCCTGGAAGTCAATGATGTCGACATGCAGCCTGAGGGGGAACTAAAGGCACTCAGCCCCCAGGAAGTCAGTGGGTGGCCGGCCAGGCTGTCTCCATCACCAGAGGACTGGAGGATGGCAAGGGCTGCCAGCCCCCTCAATCCTGTGGAGACCCCCGAGATGAGCAGACACCTGCCCAGCAGAGCCAGAGCAACGCGGCCGCCTCCCCGACTTGGCGGGGAGAGAGACAAGGGGCCCAGGCTGTTGCTGTCCAAGAGGAAGCTGGAGCTTTTACTTTCGGAGCCTGAGAGGACTAAGAGAAAGAAGAAGTACGTGGCTGCCTCAGCCCAGGGCCCGGGTTAGCGCAGGACAGGGGCGCGGGGCCGGCACGGAGCCAGGACCCCTCCAAACCACTAGTGATGAGCAGTAAGCAGGGCACTACCGTCTGCTTAGAACTGGGTGTGCAGGCCTGGGGGACGGCTCGGGGTCAGGGTGAGTTCAGTCCCCAGGACCCAGATGGTAGAAGGAGAAAACCATCTTCTGCTAATTGTTCTCTGAGAACCACCCAGGAACACATGTGCTTGTGCACGTGTGTACACACACACACACACACACACACACACACACACACACACACACACACACACACACACACACACACAGGCTGCAGTTGAGGGATGGTTCCATGGCCTTCACTGGGCATCCTAGACCCCAGGACCTTGTTCCAGAGCCCCGGCGACCTTCCTTAGCCTCCTGAATGCTGGACTGCAGGCCGAGGCAGGGGGCAGGCAGACCCCTCCCCGTCCCTAGTGTGTTCAGGAGTCTGTGTGCACATGCTCATCAAGCCCTCTGTGCCACCTGGGAGCAGGGTTTCTTAGCTCGGGTCAGCCTGCTAGGACACTGGGCTCACTGTGGGTGCTGTGTCCCCCGTTCCACTTTGGCCAGCTTGCTCACTGTCCTTTTCTCTTTCCGGTAGGTAGTGAAGCTGAGCGCGAGCCTGGTGCAGCCGCTGGAGGTTCAGGTCCCATCTCCTCTCCAGTCTACTGTCATCCCCATGGCGGCAGGACAAAGACCACAGGGTTCCCAAGTGCAAATAAAAAAGGCACCACAAGGAGGTGCCTTTTCTTGGCAGGGCAAGGTCCACCCTGGGGTGCTGTTGGGACCACCCCAGCATTAGTTAGGGGGTAGGGTCTTGCTCACCAGTGCCCCGGCTAGCTCCGCCAGGGAGTATGGCTGGTGGTGGCTGTCTGGCATGGCTGACTCTTCTGACTGTAGGAAGGGGGAGGGTGCTCCCTGGGGAGGAGGTGCTCCCTGGGGAGGAGGTGCTCCCTGGGGAGGAGGTGCTCCCTGGGGAGGAGGTGCTCCCTGGGGAGGAGGTGC